AAGTAGCTGGGACTACAGGCGCCCGCCACAACGCCGGGCTATTTTTTGTTGCAGTTTGGCCGGGGCTGGGTTTGAACCCGCCACCCTCGGTATATGGGGCCGGCGCCTTACTCACTGAGCCACAGGCGCCTCCCCATTATGTATTTTCAAATACTTGTGAAAATACGAATCTTGGTTCTACTCCCCAGAAATCCTAATGGATGTCCTGGTGCACTTGACTTTGAGACCAAGTATTGCTCTAAAGCAAGAACATCATAGAACACAACCAGCATGAAGAGAGAGGTGGGAGACACCTTTGAAGTGACACAAAATCCCAGAACATACACCATATATTTCACTGATTTTTCCAGCCATCCATTTTATCCATCCATCATTGCTCTTGGATTGACTTCCACCCTTTGGAGTGAAACAAAACCCCACAGTAGATACCACAAACTTCTTTATTCCTCCATCATTTATCTACCTATACATTTACTCATATATCCATCCATCCATCGACCCATCTATATACCCATTCATCTATCACCCAAACTTTTTGACTCATTTCTGTACTACGCTAGGCATTCTTTCAAGTCGATGAGAAACAGGAGAAATCTGCATGTAAACCAGACTCCAACCCAGAAAAATGTAGGAAATAATTGATTGCCTTAAAAACTTTCAGGATGAACACTATAGATAAGGTGAGGGTTTAAATTAGGACTGGGAACATGTCAGCTTTTGCTTATTCTTAAACAAACACTTTATTTTTCTCTCCAAAAACCACTCATACAATCCTGATCTTTTGAGTTAACATTATGTCCCTCCCAGTTCTTATTTTCTGTGCAGGACTAAACTAAGATTCTGAGCCTAGGCTGTGAGTTTTGCCTTGTCTTCAATGACCCCTTCGAATGTTCACATAATATGGCTGCATTAGCATCAGTCTGGTCCACGGGGATGCGAGGCTTGGCTCTTTCAGAGGCTTATTGAATTGCTTGCCTTGCGTTCGATTGATCTTACTGAGTATAATACATTTTGATGCAGAACATTTGTTTTTGATTTTTTTCTTTTCTCCTTTGCCCTCTAGAGGTCCACAGATTTTAACTGATATTCTGTTGCTAGAACATGCCCCCACCTTGCACTCCCTGAAACTTCTTGACAATGGCCGTTTGGTTTGCTATTTCACAAAATCATCTAAATATTTTTTTAGAAACCTGTCAACTGTTTTCTCTCCTCGGGTAACTCATTTTTCCCAGGCTGCCATTATAGCTGGATCAGGGAGGGTCAGGGATTTGTGAAGACTGGTTGCAAGTGAGGTGGAGCGGGCCTGATCTTGAAGAGCTGTTTCTCTCCTCATTGTTAACAGTCTTTGGCACCCTCTTCTCTCCTCCTGCCCGCCTTGCCATCAGACCATCATTTCTTATCATCTCAGAAGCTTCCGAGTAAATTCTCTTATCACTTTTGCAGTTCCTCACAGGCTCAGTTACTTAGCCAATTTTATTTTTTTTCCTACTCATATGTCAAAAGTGACAAATTACTGTTCTGAGATAGTCTAATAGATGAGTCAGCAAGTGGGCTGCCAGGTGATGTGGCTTCTCCTAGAGCAGTGGTTCTCGACCTTCTGCTCCTAATGCCTCCTAATGCCGCCACCCTTTAATACAGTTTCTCATGTTGTGGTGACCCCCAACCATAAAATTATTTTCATTGCTACCTCATAACTGTAATTTTGTTACTGTTATGAATCGTAATGTAAGTATCTGATATGCAGGATGTATTTTCATTGTTACAAATGGGTCGCGACCGACAGGTTGAGAACCACTGTCTTAGAGCAACTTGGTGAATTACTGAAGAAAAGGGAACTAAGATAAAATAAAAACCAGGAAACAACAAACCCTTTTTTCAAAAGGAAAAGGTGTAGACCACTATCTGCTGTCTAGAGGCAGATGAGCCTGTAGGGGGCTCTGCATATGGTAGGTCAGCAGAGCCACAAGAGTGAAGGAACCTGGGTTTCACCCTGGAGGAACTCATTCATCCACCATGCAGATGAGCCAGCATTGTATCCTAAGCCATGAGAGATAGGGTTTGTTACAGCAGTTAGCTTCCCCTGACTAAAATGAAAGGAATATGAACACTCACAGGACTTTTAGGGGAGAAGGGTAGTATGCTGTTCCTTCCACGCACCAAAGAATCAGAGGCAGGCAAGGTAAGGCTCTATCCCAGCCACACGTCCTTAGTAAGACAGGGGCTTTGACCCGAAACACTCACTGATGGATCCTTTGCTGGCTGAAAGGGGCAGTGTAGCAGTCATTCTCCTCCAGGTCTGGCAGTGTCTCCTTGTCCAACCTCATTGGCTTCTTAGGTAACCATCTCCGAAACCTGCTTATTTGTTTATCGACCCTGTGGTACATGTAAGGCAAAATCAAAGGGTACAGCATGTCAGCATCACCGCAAAACAAAGGAGGGAAGTCTCCACAGAGCCATAATTATACACCACACATTCCAGGCATTCTCATTGCACTCATGTTAATCCTGTTGTATAGGCAGAAAGAAGAGAACTAGAATCCCAGTGCTGTATTGATTTCACCAAGTGGCCTCAATGTTATTTATGAAACAGCAGTCGTGAGTTAGATTTACACTCACATGCCAGTAAATGACCAGGTAGCCATAAGAAGCCTTGAAGGCTCGGGAAAGGAAGCTGATGGTCCCTTAAACAAAACAGTAGAGACCTGGACTTCTCACTTTCTGTTGGTTCTAGAAACTTCATTTTGTGTTTGGGAAAGCTCTGAGGTCAGAGCAGCTAGCTGTAGCTCACTCTGGAGAGGGGGCACTGGTAGCACATCCCAGTGGGTTGAATGTGCACCGAGAGCCCAATGCCACAGTTCACTTCTTGCTCTAACACCTTCACTGAGCAGCTTCTCAGTAGGCAGCAGGATCTCTGGCTTCCACTGTTTTCTTTCTTTTTTTTTTTTCTTTTTTTGATACGGAGCCTCAAGCTGTCCCCCTGGGTAGAGTGCCATGGCATCACGCTCACAGCAACCTCTAACTCCTGGGCTCAAGCGAGTCTCCTGCCTCAGCCTCCCAAGTAGCTGGGACTACAGGCGCCAGCCACAACGCCTGGCCATTTTTTGGTTGCAGCCATCATTGTTGTTGTTTGGCGGGCCCGGGCTGGGGATTCGAACCCACCACCTTAGGTGTATGTGGCTGGCGCCTTAGCCGCTTGAGCCACAGGCACCGAGCCCACTGTTTTCTTTTCAAGCTGACTCTGCGGTTGCCGTGGTGCTGGGGCATCATAGCACACATGTGTCACTCTAGCTAATACACTCAATGAGGCCAAGTCAAGGCAAACAACGACAGCATCCTAAAAGTGGTTTTCAGGCCAGGGTTTCCTAACTGGCTTCATGGAAAGATGAAGGAAGGATGAATTTTCTGTCTGCTTGAGCTGGGACATTCATCTTCTCCTGCTCTTAGACACTGGTGCTCTTGGCTCTAGGGCCTTCAGATTAGAATGAGACCTGTGTCATCTACTTTCCTGGGCCTGCTGCTTATAAACTGCAGATTGTGGGACTTCTCAGCCTCCAGAATCTTATGAGCCAAAGGTGTAAATCATGGACCACAGAATCAGGAGCTCTGATGTCCAAGGGCAGGAAAGATGGATGTCCCAGTTCACACAGAAGCAAATTTGTCCTTCTTCTGCTTGTTGTTCTATTTAGACCCTCAAGGGACTGGATGGTGCCTGTCCACATTGGTGAGAGTCATCGTCTCCTGCTCATTCCACCAAGTCCAATACTAATCTCTCCTGGAAACACCTTCACAGATACACCCAGAACTAATGTTTTATCAGCTCTCTGGGCATCCCTTAGCCTAGCCAAGTTGACACGTAAAATTAACTATCACAGTAAAACTCCTAGCTGATGGCAATATTTTTTACATCCCTAATTGATTCTAAACTGAAAAATATGGGTAATCTGCTCCTTCACTCCTGCTTCATTTCCAGTGTTGACCCAGCCTCACCAGGACACCAGCTCTGCCTGGAGATGGCTGTCCTTTCACAGAACCCTAGTCCCAAACTGGAAAGAATCTCAGAGGTGCTCTAGGTCCCTCCTCTCAGAGAGAAATTCTTCCCCTCCCCACTTCCCCACATAAGTATACTTAAAATACCAAGTGGCCTCAGTGTTATCACAGTGCCTTGCTGAGCTTCAGGAAAGAAGCGTGACCCAGTGGCTGAAAACCTGAACTCTGGGGCTGGAGTACCTAGATTCAGATCCTGGCTCTGTAAATACTAACCGCACAAGCTTGGACTAGTTATTTAACTTTGCTGCACCTCAATTTTCTTATCTGTAAAATGGGCATGCAGATTATACCCAACTCATAGGATTATGATGATGAACTGATTAAAAGATACATCAAATTTTCAGAACAGTGCCTGGTGTACAGTAAATGCCAGCTATTACCATTTTTCTTTTTTTCAAAAATAAGAATTTGAGCAACTGACTTGCCTTTTAACATTTACGTCTTTTCTTGCTTTTCAATTCAAAGTTAATTGTGCTGCCCCAGCATCTCTAGTTTGTGTACATTCAATGACTTAGTCCTTAAATGGACTTAAAAATGAGACTTCCTAGGCTAAGCTGGTGGCCTTCCCTGGGGTTCTTGGCTTGATTTTGCCTGATTGTCTTAAATCTCATTCAAGAAAGAGGACGTTGGCCTAAAGCTTTTTTATAATAGAGCTTTACCTCCCACACATCTCTGGTCTGCAGCACTAATTGGATCACACTTTGCAAAATTCGCATTCCCACAGAATCTAGGCTCTGCGTGCAATGACTATGAATTAAATCCAGCTGGGTACAGTGTTCAGTGTGGACAAAAACAAAGAAAGCTGTAAAAAAAAATCAGGTATACATACTCCATGGGAGTGAAATGGCAGCTTTCAGCAGCCAGCTTGGGGCACCACAATTTAAATAAAAGATGGAGGTGGTGAAGAGAGAGTACAACAGGGTAATGAAAATGATTAATTAATTGAAAAATGAAGAGGGGTAAGAGAAGTGAGAAGGGAGCAAGGGGAGGCTACTTGGCATCGTGCAAAGAAGCTGGGATTCGTAATTGGGCCGCCTAAAGCCCGTCTCCGTTGCTTATCAACTGAGTGACCTTCCATAAGCTACTCACATTTCTGAGTCTTATTTTCCAGGGTTATAAAATGGGGCTAAATAGTCATGATAATCATCACTATCATCATTATTTTATTGACCACATAGGATGGTGAGGAGGATTATAAAACATGGTGAGCATGAAGTGCTCTGGGGAAGCTTCTAGGCAGCAGCAAGGGTTACTGTTAATTTCTTGAGGACCACACAGGACTGATGTGAAAGTGATGGAGAGCGGAGGAACTGGGGGTTTTGAAACACTGTGGCGGGAGAAAGACATTCAGGAATAAAAGCTCTGAGAGGGCTGGGCAGAGGGGTGGAGTGTTTGGACCAGCCTTCCCTGCGGAGCCTGAGAGAAGCAGGTGCACACGGCCAGGGGCATCAGGTCCCATGACACAAGGCTGTCCCTGCAGTGTGCCCTTCACAGTGACAGGAACACTCCAATGTGGCCAGCAGAACTGCCCCCAAAAGATGTCCAGACCCTAACCCCAGAATCTGTGCATATGTTACATCACATGACAAACGGGACTTTGAAGATGTAAATAAGGTTCAGACGTTCAGCAAGGGAGGGCACCCTGGATTACTCAGATGGGCCCAAGTTAACCACAGGAGATCTTTAAAAGCAGAGAACTTTCTCTGGGTTGGAGACAGGAGAGATGCACAGTAGGAGAAGGGTTTGATCTGCCATGGCTGGCTGTGAAGTTGACAGTGCTGGGAGCCGGTGATGAACGCAGCCTACAGAAGCAGAGAAGGCCAATAGCTAGTCAAGAAATAGACCTCTCAGTCTATGATTGGATAAAATGAATTGTACCAGCAACCTGAATGAGCCTGGAAGTACCTTCCCCTCAGTCTCCGGATAACAGCCCAGACCCACCAATATCTTAATTTCAGCCTTGGGAGACCTTGAGCAGAGAAGCCAGCTAAGCCCCCTCTCCCCTGGAATTCCGACTTACAGAATGTGAAATAATATGTGTGTACTGCTTCATGCAGCTGAGTTTGTGGCAACGGATTATGACGGTAACAGGAAACTCATGCATCCTTTAAAATAGTCTTGGTCTGCTCCTCCCCGCAAGACCTGGCCACAGTTAGCCAGACTCCTGTTGTGCTAAGGCCACTGGCCACACGTGGTTCCCACCTCCCAGTGCGAGGCAGCTCTGAGAACGAGAGTCTACGTTGTAGTAAGGAATGAGAGCTCCTCCAGGCTGCTCTTCCACAAACACACTCCTGTCTCCAGACTGTGCCACACTCAGACTTCACTGAGGATCAGCTTCAACCATGCAAAGGAGAAACAGGTAGCCCACAGAGCCACTAGGCTGGAAAGCAAGAGACTCCAGTGGAAGTCTTGATTGTGCCCTCACACATCACTGTGGCCTGGGACAAGCCTTTGATCCCCACTGAGCCTTACTAAGCTCATCACTAAAATGATGATCCGTCGGATGTTCTTGAGATACTGCAGGATGTTGGTAATTTGGATGATAACATTTTGGCCATGTCATGCTAAACGAACATGAGTTCATGAAGACCTTTTCTTTTTACAACACCTAATGGATAAACTTTAGCACATATAACGAGAGACTGGAGTCAGCTGGAAGCAGGTTCACATCGCAGTCATATAGATCTTGCTGGGCAAATAACTAAACCTCTCGGAGCTAACTGTTGATAGCATAAGGCAGTGGTGAGGAAGACATAATGAGTATCAGGAACTTCAAAGTGCCTTGGGGCTGTTCAAAGGGCTCAGTTAAGTGGTGGTTTCTAGGATGAAGAAAACAATGACCATGAACTTTTATGCAGACCTCTTTTCCCAACGGGAATTCAAAAGCTATGACATTCCCTCATAGACTGAGATCTGTGCTCCCGGGTTGCATCTCATACACATCCTTGAACAGGCACTCTTGAAATTTACCTTGCTATATTAAAATCAGGAAAACCTCTAACTAGAAGGCATCCCATTGTTCTCTTTGGAATAGGAGTGGAGCTTACTTAATAATGTCTCCAATCGTAGGGAAAAGGAAATATTGGCTTAGTGATTTAGCATTGATTTTAGCTGGATGTGTTGTTACTTTGTTCCATTTCTGCCATTTACTGAGCAAAAGTCCTCTTACAGACCCACAAGCAAATCAATAAAGGGAAAATGGATCACTCACTTGGGCATTTCTGGCCTTGACTTGTCAAGTAAATATCTGGACCACAGCACGAGTTACTTTAATAGAAAGTTGTTCTGATAATAAGTTCAGGTCCCCCCAAATGCTGGTTCCTGGC